TTGAATTTGTAAAATGTGGATGGTAAAAAAGGTTTACTACTATAAAGTCAACCAATCACTATCTGAGTTAACGATACAAATATGTTTGGTATGAACAGTAAGCGTTTGAGGGTAGTTTTGTGCATTTGGAATTTGTACATGTTTGTATATGTTAGTAAGTGTCTGGGTTTAAAATTTCGCTGGGGCCTGGGAAGGGTTTGTTGAAAAATAGCCAGGGCTGGATTTGTGACCGGTATTGCTTAAACATTAATACGTCCCAAAGTATATTTTTTTATTCAAAATTTATGTTACATTTTATATTTATATATGCTTGTATATTTATATATAAACAAGAATACACTGCGACCATTTTCTATAGGCGCATGTGGATTATGTCTTAAAAACATACTTAACTTTATTTTTATAGTGTATTTCAATAAATTATAAATAAATCAAAAAATAATGAAAATTATCAAAAAATAATATCAAATTTGAAAAGAGGTCAATCATAAATGAATTAAATTCAAAAGATAGCTGACTATTTTCTATAGTCGCAGTTATCACATTTTTAGTACTCGATTGGACTTCCTTTGCGCTCAATTACTTGATAAATTTGTTTTGGCATACTTCCCACCAAGTTTTCCAGCACTTTTGGCTCCATATCCTCCCAGCATTTTGATACCGCTACTTTTAGCTCTGCCACAGAGTTATATTGCTTCTGGTCAGCATATATACGTCTTACAATGATTCCCCAGATATTTTCAACAGGATTCAAATCTGGACTGCGAGCAGGTCACCACATTTGCTTGATTTTTTTAGCTTAAAACCAAGCTTTAGTCTCGTTACTAGTGTGAATGCTGGCGTTGTCTTGTTGGAAAACAAACTTTTTGCGTCGATATTTGTTTTTAAATGGAATCAAACGTGATTTTAGCACATCAATGTATTCAGAACTTTTCATTTTGCAAGATGTAAATGCTAAATTTAACTTTCCTGTTGCACAAAACCCAAGCCAAACCATCAAAGATCCACCACCGAAATTCCTTGTTGAAAAATATTTGGGTTCTCTCCTCAAATCACGCCAGTAGCCACTAAAACCACCAGGCCCATCAAGATTAAACTTTTTCTCGTCCGAAAAAATCACCTGGTATTGAAAACAAAAATATTCAGCTATTTAGACATCTTACGTATTCATGAGAATTTAATCTAAAATTTCTTACTTGTTCTCAATCGCGTGCCATGTTTTCGCGGGCGAATTCCAACCGTTTCTGTTTGTGAACAGGCTTCAAACTTGGTGCTTTATTCATTTTTGATTGTACAATGTGTGAGCTGTCTTTAAGAACTTGATGAATTTGATGCAACTTGAACAATTCTGCGTTTTTCACGACTTGAAACCTTAGATTTCTTTGGTTTCCTCTTGATTGTTGCATAATTTGCTGGATTTTTCAAGAAATTACAGATAATGTGATCTGATTTCTTCAATCTTCTAGCAATTTCTCGATTTGCAACTTTTTCTCGATGAAAAGCCAATATTTTACCTTTTTCAATATCGGTAAGGACCTTTCCTTTCGGCATTTGGTTTAGTCAAACTTAATTTCGACTCACAAAATAAAAAATACCACAGAATATAAGAAATTTGCGAAAAAACTCCTAAAAACTTTAGTGCATCTATAGAAAATTGCCACATGAATATTAAAAACTAATTATTTTAATACAATCAAGACATTTAATAATCAGATGCATATTGGATCATTGTTTTCTTACGTATACTTATTTAAAAGTACCGTTAGAACAATTATATTACCACTGTAACACTGTAAATCCGCTAAATTCTAAATGTGTCTATAGAAAATGGTCGCAGTGTAGAGAAAGACAAATCAAAAGAAAATTGGAAAGTGCAGCCCTTGGCGGGAAGCGAGAGCTTTAGCTCTCGCTCTTGCCTACACTACCCTAAAACGGTTTACGGGAGCAATTTACGGCTCTCGCATAAGTATAATTTTTTCTATGAAAGTATAATTATTGTTGTAACTAAAATAAAAAATACAATGTAATTTTAAAAAAATGATTGCATAATATACTGTAATGCTTTTTAAAAAGCATGGTTGTTGAAAAAAAAAATTAAAACTAAAAAAGAGCACCAATTTAAATGAGGAGCAGCCTGCACAGCTCTCCAAGTTTGTTTTAGGAGAGCTTTTCTCTTCTCTCGTGCTCATTTATTCCTGCCGAGGCCTGAGAGTGTTTTCTAGAGTTTTTTAATAATGGAACCACTTGTTTAGCACTTATTAATAGTCAGGTGATAATTGAAGAAAGTTTTGGAAACAATTTTGTAAGACTATGATGGTAATTTTGCTGCACCCAAGCCATAGAAGTTTTCAATTGAGAATTGACTTTAGCAATGAAAGTTGGAGTGATTTGAATTTGTAAAAATGGGTTATTGTGTTTAGCTGAAATGACAGGAAAAGTATGGCCATTAGATTGAAGAGTCAAATTAGAGGAAAAACTCTTTGCAAATAACTCCTTAGACAGGAACTTTTTAGACTGATTTCTTTCGACAATTTAAAGACATTTGTTCTCAAGAGAAATGTTCTCATCAAAAAGATGAAAATAATGATTATGGTTTTATATAGCAACTGCAAAAAAAAAGAAGGTAAAAACAAGGAGTAGAATTAGGCTTGATTTAAAACCAACAAGAAGGAATAAAAGTTTCATACCTGCTTGGATCCAAGAGGTTAGATAAGAGGCCCATTTATGCATACATATTATGGATATATATGGATATAAACATATATACTTGCTATTTTTTTTTAAATGCTGGCATACAATATTTATACAAACTTTAGTATTTATATGGTGTAGTATTTGCCAAAAGAGAAGATGATTACAAGATGGATGTGAGGTATGACTCTAACAAGATCAGAATTGGAGCCATAATCTTAAACAGAGATTAGAAACAATGTTGTATTGAATAACATTCAGCAGAGAAGATAAAAGTGGTTTGGGTAGAGAGGTATGTAGAGAGGTAGCAGAGAGGCATTTAGAGAGGTAGCAGTTGTGGGAGAAAATGGTAGAGATAAGAAAACATGGACAGAGTGAATTACATGTAATGAACAAGCTTATTTAAGGAAAGAAAAGGCATTTTCTTTTCCTTAACTTGTCTTATTTGAGCTTAGGTGAAAAAAGAAAACGCTTGAGATTGTTTATATTAGAAAAACAGCATAAAAAGTGAAATCTAAAAAAAAAAACTTTGATGATGATGATGATGAAGTTGATGATGATTATGTACCATATCATCATCAAATATATGTACCACTGGTAGATGAAGTTTAACTGAAAGACGCTAACCCTCAATGTGCTTATATAAGGTATCTAGATGGAAGAGAAACCACAATCTCTTTAAGACATTTAGCCCCAACAAGTTTCTCTTGGATCACTGATCAAATAAATCATATTGAAACTTTACCTGAAAATGCTTTAAATAAACTTTCTTATCCTTATTAACTGTTAACACTTGAGAAATATGACTTTATTGATAAGTTTCCTAAAAACTCCTTTAATGAACCACTCCTTTATCAACCTTCACCTGCAGAAAATTTTTTTTATAATAATTGTTTGATAGATTGATTGTTATCAAAAACACCTGGAAAAGATACATGTAAGTTGTCAATCATTATGGTTAATAGAAGAAGATATGTGAAAAACTTTGTTTAATTAATTTGAACTCAGTTATTTTATGGTTGCAGAGAATGTCGTAGTTATTTTCTTTCTTTAGAATAGAAACATTTATAAGAATAAGAATTATTGTCATTCTTAGTACAAATGTTTCAGTATAAACACTTATCAGTATACAATATAAAATATAAACTATGAAACTCACAAATAAAGCAAACTATAAAATTTTGTAGTCCCTAAAATGCAGAAATTTTCAGAAATTAAGTATCACACAAGCAGATAAACTTTTTTTATGTAGAATTAAATTCTGAGTCTAATGGCGACACTCGGAATGTTGCTCGAACATTACCTGCTGAGTTATTAAAATGCACTTTCAATTGAGATATTATTTATAATCTATAGGGCGTATGTTATTATTGGGTTTTCCCCACATTTATAACAATATGAAATAAGTAAGTGTCCTATATATAGAAGTCATAAAAAAAAATTTCTAATAGAACATTTAATTTTGAATTGATTTAGCACACTCCACAGGTGTAAAAAAGCATTGATATTGTTATAAAAACGGTTTTTTAATTTTAATTAGGTCATTTAAATCAAGTTTTTGTTTAATTAACTCAGCAGATAATGCTAAGTCAGTAGATAATGCTAATCCGCTTGTCGCCATTTGACTCAGAATTCAATTCAACATAAGAAAAAGTCTTTTCGGGGGTGTGATACTTAATTTTAAAAAATCTCTGCATTTTAAAGACTACCATAAAATTTCATTAAAAAAAGAAATATAGGAAAAAACATTTATAAAAATAATTATACCTTAATTTTTCTAATATTTAATAGCACAATGCTTATCACATTTTATAAAAATAATAAATAATGTTAGACAATTTAAAATTTGCTTAAATTTATTTTACCTTATAATACTCAGGCATTTTTTAAAAAAAATTAATTCTGATTTACAGTTAGTGCTAATTAGTAACTAGTATATTCTTTAATTTATTGAAATTGGAACAAATACTTATACAAAATATTTAAATTAATATAATACTTAGTTGAAAAAAACATTTTAATTTTACTAGGTTTTAGAGCATTTTTATTCTATGAAAACTTTTTAAAATATTTTATATAATTTAATTTCATTCATTCCTATTTAGGCATATTAGGCATATTATTTCAAGTTTTTTTCATTTTAATTAAAATTTATTTTAATTTAATTAGTTATAAATAGTAAATTAGTTTAAGCAACTTAATTTTAACTATTATATATGTTATATTTATTTACAAAATCAAGTTTGTTCAGAAGTTTTTAATTTTCAAGTGTCACAATTTTTTTTACTTAATTTAAACAATTAACTTACGATCAGGGTAAAACATACCAATTTATGTTTACATAATTAAAGTTGACGATGAAAGCCACCATCTTTGTTGTTGATATTCTTTGCCATTCTGCGCGATAATTATTTTTTGCGTTATTAACGAAGTTCACTTTTTCAGAAATCTGAAAAAAAAATGAATAATTTATAGATTTTTGTTATAGCAGTCCAATCAACAAACTTTGAATAATAAAGATCTAATTTACTTGAAATGTTTAATTGTAATAAATTCAATTTAAAATAAATCATAATTTTAGAATGAGTCTAAAAATTGAAACCATATTAACTTACTAGTTCAGATGATTAAATAAGTAATTTAATTTCTCAATTAAAAAATATTTATTTTTGAAGCACCACGGACAGGACAGTCCTAAGGGATAAGGGTTGTAGTGAAAGCTTTATTTATAAGTTACTGGAAAAATTTAGACCTGAAGTAGGCAAGTTGGGCTTTTTCGGCGGTACTTGTGAAATGTCAGTTAACGATGACTTTTTTTACGCCATTTTTTAGAACTTAGTCGGCAAAAACAGAAACGTTACATACCCTCCCCCCCCCTCCCACCACCACCAGCACCATATTCACGCCCTCCTTTAAGATCTCATCTGGACGACCCTGACCACGGTATAACTTTTAATAAGAAAGTAGTAATAAAAAACTGCTTTTAGAAAGAATATTTACACAAGTTTGCAACTACTTCGGCGTTTTTGATATACAGGAAAAAAAAGTTTAAAAGAATATTAAAATATACGCAGCATTGAAATAAATTAAGAAATAAAATCAAAAACATTTATTTTTAAAAAGACTTTTCAAAAAATTATTTCATTAGTAATAAAAAAAAAACTCTGACTAACCCGAGTGGGCAAAGGCGGTCTCATATTAGGCGCGGATCCAGAAATTTTATTTTGGTCACACTTTAGATAAACTATTTTACTTTTAAGGGGAGCTTTTAGGGTAAAAAGTACTTGACATGATTTTTTTGGAAGACGAAAGGGTCAGCCCCTTCTCTACTTAGTTTTAATAAGTAACTTTAAGAAACGTATTTGTGGAGATCATTCTTTTTTTTTTATTTAATTTTCAACTCCAACATTTTGCAGTACCATACAAATATTGTACAATCGTTTATAAATGTTTTGCAATACTTTAATCATTCTTATAATATGCATTTAAAAAGTAAAATAATAAAGTAATACATTACAATTTACCCGGGCCGGCAATGATACCTACTCGCGCCGGCCCTGCAATTTACAATAGTAAAATATACATTTTAAAAGTAAAACAAACTAATAGAAATAATATAGAATCAATAAAAAAGAAATTGTTGGTATTTCAAAGGCAAGAACTTTGTTTTAAAAACCCTTAAAATATTTCAATAAGTTTTGTTATGTACTTTTTTACATTGTATACTGAAACATTTTTCTATATTACTTTTAATATTTCATCATTGATCAAGCGTCTGAAAAAAGTCGATTCACCACTATACGTGTTTGATAAACACTCTTCTGCTAATGGAAACCATGCTAAACAGTCAAGTGGCGCTAAATAACTTGTCTAGTAAAAAAAACTATTTTAAATTTAAATAAAATAGTTGTAAGGAATTTTGTTTTATTGATTATTCATTTTTTAAACTATTTAATGTAAATAGATAGAGAAAAAAAACGTTTTTTTTAAGATAATATGTACACGTCGAGCCAACATTGGTACATAAATTTTCATCAAGGATGTATACAGAAGTGTTGGGATGGCGCCGCCCAGATTTATTAGGGGCCCAAGCCAAATTTTTATTTGGCTTGGGCCCCAATATATTTGATCACATTTTTGCTATTATTGTATAGCTAAGAATTACAATTCTTAGCTACACAATATGTAATATACTTGTTTCCAATAAATTAAATTAAAATTGTATTTAAAAATAAGGCTTTTGTTTTCATGTATAATTTTTTTTTTGTTTCGAGGGGGAGAGGGGGAGAGAGAAGTAATTTAGAGCCCGGATTAAAATTTTGCGGGGAGGCCTATTTTTTGTCGCTACGCTACTGGATATATAATATTATATCTTTTTGATTTCATCTTTTTGCATCGGCAAGAAAAAATCCCGCTGGAAAATTGGCTAGCGAATAGCTAGCTAAATTCGTTACGATAAAGAAGCGATATGGCCACGAGGATCGCTAGCTTTTTTAAGTTAGCAAAAAGCTATCAATATTTGTAAAGATAAAGACAGCAATTTGGCTACGAGGGCAGCTAGTTTAACAAAATAAAAAACCCACTGGCTACTGTAGCTGAAGTCATACCGCAATAAAATCGCTTTTTAAAATATTTTGATATGTAGCTACCAACCTGCAATAGATTTGTAGATATTTTGTAGATAGCTACAAAGCTACGATATGTAGCTAGCGACACATTGCTACAACATTGTAATGTTTAAAGTTCAATTTTTCTTATAGTTATAAAAACTCAACACTAAAAATCGAATTTTTAAAGATGTTCGAGACATTAGAAAAAAACAAAATAAGAAAATCGCTTGAAAATTGCTATAAAGCTAGCTAGTCGCAAGCTCATTTCCCACCGGGATGTATAGACAGTGACGGATTGAGGTTTAGTAACGCGGGGGAAGTCGATGAATAGGGGGCAACCATGGGGTTGGGTGTGGTATTTTAAACTTCAGAAAATATTTTTATGACTAAAACACTTTATAAGTGTTTTTATGTGACTTTACATACAAGACACTAAATAACTTAATTTTTTTTGGGTTTCCTTTGTTTATTTTAGTTAACAATTATCTTTTATAAAATAAGAAACATTTAATATTACTGAAATAGTTCACTCATTTAAAAATGTGTTTAACTAGACATATCACAAAAGTTAGAAAGTCTTTCAATTTAATTTTAGTTTCATCTTTTCTCATATCTATAGTTTTTTTTTTGTTTTTTTTTTGTAGCATCTATATCTTCTCGTTGCAAATAGTTAGATAACACAAAAATATTAATATACAGCTTTAGGAAAAAGAACATTAGAAAAACAAATGAATGTTTTTCTAATGTTATTTTTTTAATATCAGCATCAACTACATGCTTTCTACTCGTTCATCTTTTCTAATGTTATTTAATTCAATATCAGCATCAACTACATGCTTCCTACTCGCTCATCTTGTATCGAAAAGTCGTTTTAGAGTGTCTACTGTTAATTCATATAGACCTTTCTGGTGCTCTTGGAGAATATGAAGTCGTGGTAAACTGTTAAGTAAACTGGTAACTGGAGTAAACTGGTAACGTGGTAAACTGGTAAGTAAACGGGTAACTGGAGAATATGAAGTCGTGATAGACGTAAGGTACGTATACAATTTTTCAGCTGTGCCTAAAAATACCTGGACATCGCTGTTTACAGATATTGCTTCAATGGTCACCAAATTTAAAACATGAACACAACAATGAAGATAGATGGCATTTGGTAAAAGCGCTTTTATTTGAGTTTAAAGACCATTTTTAATTCCAAACATTACATAAACACCATCATATGCTTGTCCTCTGCAGCGTTTAATATCAATGTTTCTCTTTACAGAGTTTAATATCAATGTTTCGAAAAGAAATATCTTAAAACCTCTGTTTTAAAATAATTTCTCTCTTTCCATTTGTACTTATTTTTATTCTTTTCATTTTGTTTTTCAAAATGAAATTGGTAATTTGAATTTATAATTATTTTTTAAAATGTTTTAGGGGGCGCCGTTTGATCGTTCTAGGGGGCGTGAGAGGCAGCTTCCCCACCTTTGCCCTATACTAAATCCGCCACTGTAAATAGAGAATTAAAAAGTTTTCTTTCCATGCAAATATCAAAACTATTTCGTACGTCCCATGTCTATATTGAACAATTTGCTAAACTTACCATCGTGTTAATTATAAAGATTATTCACAAAAGCAATGTTGCGGAGATACTAAGATATTGTATTACAGATTTTATTATCTCTAGATTTCTGAACATATCATGTTATAATCTAGTTTTTAACATATTTTTCATATCAAATGTTTTTTCGAAAAACCAACATTTTTCTGCATTTCTTTTAAATGAGAACAAAAAATTTTTCAAGTCTTAAGGGAATTTAAAAATTTTATAAAACTAATCTTATTGCTGTTTCATTAAAACCAAAGAAACTTAAGAAAAAAATTTGTCATAAACTTCATAAAAAAATTCGCTTTTAAAATGCTTCTTTATTAAACTTTTTTAAACGTTTTTTTAAACATGTTTTTTCTTTTTTTTTATTACTATATAAGTTATGAAAAATATTGCATTTTTATTGTGATATATGTTGTAAAGAGTTTCATGATAAGTTCCTCTGATCTTCAAGAAATCCTGTCTTGTACTATTCTGGTAAAAAAAATTAAAAAGCTAATTATTTATAATGCGTTTCATAATGCACATAAAAAGCTCTTTATACTACTGTTCAAGTCAATATAATCTATAACGATCAAGAATTGTTATAAAGTTGCTCAGTCCTAAGCCTCGTCTGCGATACCGGTTAAATGTTTTATTATAATGAAAAATTTTTTAAAATCTTTCTAGTTACATTTTCAATCAATCAAGATACATTGGCTGTGCTTCAAAACATATACAGAATTTTTTGATCGCAGACTGGAGATGCTCTTGTAGAATCAAATCATCTGGATTAACTGAAATATTTAAAAGCTTAATAAAATTGCTAAGCATAATAATTCTTGTGAGTTCTCCATTTTCTCCTTTGTTTTACAAGATGAAATTAAATATTGGGAAATTTTAAGCATTACTCCAAAACTCAGATAAAAGTTCCTTATTATTTAGAATAGAATAGAAGTCCTGTAACTCTACTGATTTGAGAAATAAAGTCACGTAGAATCAGTCTGTAACAGCCGTTACAGATGTAATATTTATTAACTGCTAAAATTTAAAAACTTTTGTCAATTTAATTCTCAAACTGTTTAACATTTACGGACTTTACTACTTCATTACTTTGATGATTCCAGTGATTTGCTATTCGATTCGTGAATAAATTCTCATAGACTGGTACTTGCTACTATTCTTTCAAATTTTACTTATTGATGGCTTCTTGTTTTACAACTTTGGAATTCCAGCGGTGTACTTAAGTTGCTTTTATTCATATTATTT